ATATAGAACTATCTTTTTTGATGCCATCTTTCCATAGCGACTGTCATCTGGAGTCTGGAGCCTTACCAAAACATAAGGTAAGAGTTTAGCTTTTGTCCGTCAGGACTACTTCTAGATTTCCGAGACATTTCGGTGAAAATCCCCACATCGCCTTAAAAAATGGAAATGGTCACTTGACTTTACCTTTCCCAAGGCTTCCCATCTAAGGTATGTTCAAGGTAACTTATTTTAGTAGCTATGCACTATGGCTGCCATCATGCGAGATCAGTAATTTTTTGGCAGATGGTTCTTAAGGCTGAGGAAAGAGGCCAAGGCTAGTGTATGAAAGGTAAAAAGATAAAAACACTCACATTTGAGTTTTGATTAAGTAACTGAAAATCTCTACATGCTGTTTTTTCTACCTCTGCTCTGACCTTTCGAGAACTGAGATCGACAGCAGACCAGTGTGAGAATAATACCGGCCCTTCTTTTGTACCTCTTGCCTTTGTCAAGCCAAATCGGAAGGAATGAAAGTTTCACACAGATTGGAGTTGGAAATCCCAGCATGACAAATATCTGTAATATACAGTACATGCAGGCCACATCCTACTGCCTTCCTACCTAAGCACAAAGGAAAAAAAAACATAAAACAAAACCAAAAAACCCTGTCCCGTTCAGTCATTCGCACAACAGGCAGACTTGCTTTTTCCTACAAATTAGTGAGAAGTAAGGCCGATTGGGAAAGGTGGATGGAATCATTTGGAACAGAAATAACCAGAGCAGAACTGTCTTTCCCCCCTCCCTACTTCCCTTCCTGTGGCAACTCAAATTTGTCCACTTATATAAAAGGTACAGACCTCACCTGTCGGGTCTGCTTAGGGCACTGAGAAAGGAGGAGTCCTTCCCGCCCCAAACCTTTCTGGACAGCATGGGGCACCTATACTGAGCCGTCTACAGACACGGAATTAAAGACAGATTCAATCTCATTGTGACACACCTCACTTGCAGATAACCCTGTACAGTAATGTAGTTCCACAGCAAACAGAACATTTTCTGAATCACAGTCTAATTTTCTAGTCTTCACTGCTCTAAGTATTTGAAACATGGGCAGCAGCAAAGAGTTTTCATTGTTTGTTCACCCAAATCTTTACGACAACAGAGAAAAATGCAATATGGATACACTAAATTCTGAACTATGAAATCTAAACTGTGCTGGTTCTCCTTTTATGAAACTGAACTTGGAACAGAAAGCCGTTACTTCAAAAGTAAATGAAAGAAAGTTGAAAAAATAACAGAAATGGGGAGAAGAATCTAAGGAATCCCAGCAGGTAAATTCCAAAATGGGAAATTTTGGGGAAAAAAAAAAGTCCAAAATTTGTTTGGGAGAAATAAATGCTCACACACAAAAAAAAAAAGAAAAAAAGAAAGGAAGAAAAAGAAAGTAACAAACAAAACAAAACCAAAAAACAAGGCACAGAATTTTCTGCAATCTACCAAAACTAAACCCAAGTACCCAAGTTTGACTTGGTAGAAAGAAATAAAAATTAAAACAAGCAAACAAACAAATAAAAAGAGGTGTCAAACAGCAGTGTGTACTTTTCAAGGAACATTTTTTTTTAACACAGCAAATCCCAAGCCTTCCCAGTCTCGCAGCTTTCCACCCATTCATAAAAAAACACACGAGTTTCTCGCAAGTTCCAATATCACTGTCTCTTTATCACTAAATAGGGCCAGTTGGACACCTCATTGAAACAAAAAGGCTGATCTAGATGAAGTACTCTTTCTTTTCTTCAGAGTTGTTCTGTCCTCCTTCTGCATTGATTATAGCTGTGTCTGCGTCTGCTGCGTCATCGGCTCCTTTGGCTTCATGAGTGAAGTATGTACCTGAAAGATGAAGGGGTAAAGCACCGTGACTGTCTGATGGCCTCTGTGTAGGGTGGTACAGAGATGGCAACTTGCTTTATGGCCATCATCAGCCGAAGTGGTGTGCAGGCAGCAGAGGGGAAAAAACAATTGGAAGAAGAGAGCGAGGTGGGTGAGACAAATGGGGATCCGGGGGTTCCAAAGGCACCACTCCAACTGAACCGCTGCGATATAATTCAGCAAATGAGACATTAGAGCAGTGATTATGACCAGAGGATGTCAGCAGAAGAAGACGTGAGTGGGAGCTAAAATGCAGAAAGCTGGAGAGCTGCTGACTAATGCGTAAACAGTAAACACCACGGACCAATGACCAGAGATGTGCACGCACATGGTTAAAGACCAAAGCAAGGAAGAGCAATTAGCCAATAAATGAATTAGGGCCCCAATGACGCTTCAACTGTCATCTTGAATTGTTTATTGGAACCATAGTCTCCAGGCTTCGAGAATCTTTACTGGCTATCCATAAGTGAGAACAGGCTTCAACTTGCACAAGTATCTTTGATTTCCCTCTGCCTTCCATTCCAGAGTGGGGTTCCAGATTGAGAAATAATTTGACTCTGTGATGGCTGGAATCAAGGCTTGGGATAGGTCTTCATGAATAAGTGATTTTCTTATGGTGTAACTGTAGCCTGGACCCGGATTCATGGATTTGCTAATTGGCACAGCCACTTTATAATGACAATAGACAGAACGTCACAAAATTGGTGGCACTCTTACCACCAGATCCCAAGAGCTTACATGGAGGAAGATAGGGAAGGCACCTCCGTATAGTATGTAGGAAGCACTTAAACTGCCTGGCATAAGCAAATAGCCCTCCCCCCACTGTATTCCGTATTTCTAAAGCTTCTTAAATTTAAAGAGGCTGAGACATCTGGCTCTATCTTAAGGATTCACAGTGACAAAGCCGAGAAGTCAAGTGCTTCCCTCCTGTACTCTCTATTCTACAGTGATGCTCATGCCCTCTTCCCCTGGCTTCCACAGTGCTGCTCAGACTCTGCCCTGCTCCCTGGTTTCACCTTCCTGCCTCTGCCAAGCTAAACACTGACAGGCTAGAGTTCTCAGCCAGTCTGTTGGGAGAGCCCCAAACTGGGTTATGCTCAAGAAGGACACATGTCAAGTACCTTGGACCTCCACTGTTGTGCTTGCTCAAGGGACCTTCCCTAAACCCCAGTTACAATCAAGCAGTCTGCAAGCGCCTGGAAAACTCCACCAGATCACTGCACAGTGCTTGAGGAAAAACAAGTGAGCAAGACAAGGGCCGACAAAGAAAAGGAAGAATAAATTACCAGAAGGGGAGAAGAGGCTCATAGCAGCATGGGGCAGAGAGGAGGAGCCCGGGAAACGATGATTGCCCATCCAGGCTGCACAGCTGATAAGTGTGGTGATTAATGGCAATTTAAATCAATTGCACTGATAATTTAAAAAATACATATTTATGTGGCTTTTAAGGCAAAGGATTTTCTATAACCTGGGCACATCACACCAAGGAAGTATTCTAGCCCTCCTGGCTAGTTAGTGTAATTACCTAGAGTTTGGAGCCAGGGAACAGGGCTTATCTGCCTGCCTCCTTGGAAACAGCCTGCTGTGGGTAAGCATTTCCATGCTTACCATTCAGAGTCCATACTGCCCCTCATACACCAGTCCGTACTTGTCATTTTTACTTTATCCCCATTGATGGGCTGGAGAGTAACAACTCTATAAAGCTTTATACTTAGAGAAAATCCAAATCAAGGAATGTTCCTCATCAACTGCCAGAGACCTAATCAGCAGCTGCTAAGGTTTCTGCTTTTTTCCCCTCTCCCAGTTTCAGAAATCAGATAGGTGATGGATGTGACCACATACACTAAACTGCCTATCAAGGACAACTTTGCAAAGTCCCCAAATGCGGGGGCTGCGGTGACACGTTGCTCCTGCCTGCCAAAGCTCCTTGCTTACCTTTATGTCTGGCAAAATAGCGCCCCAGAATGATGAGCAAGCACAGCATGGCGAACACCACCACAGCCACGACGCCGCCAATCACGGCATGATCCACCGCCCTTATTGAGCCTTCTTCACCTGCTCGAGAATCTGTTGAAATCACAAGAGGAATACAGATGTAGAGCTTATTACAAGACACCAGGAGCCCCAGCAACACTGCCACCAGGGTCAGAAGGCCACCTTGCTTTTTAGTGGAGGAGTCAGAGAACAGTCGAGATGGATCAAGTTATACTGAAGGAACAGACTGACCTGTCCAGTGCTGAATTGATCTGTTCTCCCCAAAGGCAATTTCATTATAAGCAGCACAGGAGTGCCAATGGAAGTGGAGCAGGCTTAGGGAGGCAGGAGGGGGATAGGGAGTCTATCCAGTCCTGACCTAGTCTTGGCGCTCACTCTGTATCCAGCTGCAGAGCCTAATTAAGGAAGCTAACCTGGCTATTTGAGGCTGCCCTGAAAGGTACCTTTAGGCGATCACAGAAACCGGAGAGGAAGGAGGACATCTTTCTATGGAGGCCCAGTGACTTATTCCCTAATGGGTATATGCAGGGGAAAAGCAAAGAGTTCAAAAGCCACAGCTGCTGAGAAATAAAATAAGGATTATAAGGATTATAAGACTAAGGACAAGTGACATGCTTGCTACATTGAGGATGTATGAGGGAGTAAGCCTCAATTTAAAACCTAAAAACCTATTTCCAAAACGACAGCAAGGAATAATTGTTCATTGCCATAGATGGTTTTTATTTTATTTATTTAACACTGCACGATGCAATTAATTTTCCTTTATAAGCATCACTCCCTCAGGATGTCTTCTTCCGACTGAGGAACGACATGTTTGGCTGGGGAACAACTCCAAAATGAACCCAGAATGAACTATGGCGATGCAGAATGGATGTATGGCAGTGTAAACAATTTTAATTTAGGAATGTGGCTACATCACCCCTTGCTGAAATCCTAATGGCACCCAAGATTTATAATGTAGTAAAAAACAATTATTCTCCCGTTGATTAATACATTAACATTTTGGAGTGGAAGCTAAACCATTGTCTTTTTTTTTATTGAGTCAAGTACGACACCTCCATTAAAATGATTTACTAGCTGTACCCTACAATTTAAGCACAGCAGCAACAGAAACGGTAAAAATCTTTTAACTTTACATGATTTGTGAAGTCATATGTGAAGGATTTACCATTTAAATCTTTCAGTACAAGAAGCACATGGCCTATAAATCTGTCCCCTTGCAGTTGCTGGACGCCTAAGAGAAATGCATTTCACCAGGAAGACTGAGAGTGCAAATTCAAGTCAATTTCTAAGAAAGATTTATCTCTGTCTCTCTCCAAAGAACAGAGCAAATCTCTGAAGCCTCCACCTCTAATAATATTTGAAGTTTATCGATCAAGTGTACAGATCCGTGACAGCTAAAGGTAATGGTGCTCTTTTGAGCCGAAACCTGATACAACGCTTTCAGCAGGAGGGCATGATTTACACTTTCTATCGATATTTCCAATTCTGCTCAGAGATTAAGTACTGAAGGATGTGGGGAAATAACTCGTGACTGAGGGTTCCATGAAAACTGCTTTAATTAAAAGAGTTTAAATTTTAAAAATGGAGTATTTAAAGTGTTTCATTAAGTTACCTTTGAAAGGAATACAGGAAAACCAAAACCCCCAAACCCAAACAGAAATGCTGAATCAAAGACACCAGCAGGTCGCCCAGGACAACAGGATGATGGGAGTTTAATTGGAGGATGGAGGTGGGTTGGAGGCAGAGAGCATTGCAGCCAATTAGCCTGTGCCGTGATGTGAGAGCCCCTCCAGCAACCTGTCTAATAAGCTCGGCTCAAAAAGTGGTGGAGAGATATCTCCCTCCTCAGCCCAAAGTGTTGCCAATTGCAGATGTTACAACCTCCACTGTCTCAAAGACATTTCAACAAGGTGGAACTCGCCATGGAAATTTTTTTCTCTTTTACAGACAAGAGAGCTTGTCTAAAGGAAGAACTCCCCTTGGGGTGCTGCTGAAACAGAGGGTTTTACACACTGCAGGCTTGTACCCCAATCGCTCAAGTTCAGAAGTGTTCACAGGGGTACACAAGCAACAGTAAAACCAGCCAGGTGTATTTTCCTTAGGGAGCTGTCAAATTAGGAGACTTGTAGGAATAAGAATGAACTAATCTCCAGCTGCCATGAGCTTCAGACCTGCTAGAATTTATATGTCTTTCAGGAAGCCCCATATGTCTTAGAATTGGGCAAGGAAGACAAACTGATGCTAAATACTGAGGAAAGGAAAGAGGTGCAAGAAGCCAGAGGAAGAGATCTCATCTGGGGGCAGACTGAGAACAGAGAGAAGCTTCCAGAAACTGTCCAAAGACAGCTCTAACTTATTTGAGGGAAGGTACTCTCTTTTCCACTAGTAAAATATTCCTTCTTCCATGCCTAGGTGCAGGCACACTCTAGAAGACTTATAAAACCAGAGTGAGGAAGAGCAAGTGTGTGGGCCCTCTGAGAGAAGGAAAAGCAAACAAACAAACAAACAAAAACCCTCAAAAGAAAATCTCACAGGGCATGTATCTGAGGGTTCAATTTTCTGAGTCAAAACTATTCATCTGACCTTTGGTCCCCACGATTTAGTAAATAAACTCAGTACTGGTATTGTCCCTCTGCAGTTAGTCCAAATGAAATACCTAAATTCTAGTTATAGTCCCCACCCTCAAGGACTTACGTATTCTGCAGATACTTATTTATAAGCATAATCTTTCTAGCTATCTTCTGATACTCACTTTGATCAGAAAGTTTACTACCACCAGTTAATCACTAAGACATTTTTCCTGCCTTCAATTATTACAGATGGACACAGAAGGTAACTGATGTTTAATTTACAGGGAACACTCACTGCCAGTTACGAGCTCCCTACCGCCTCTTCCCACCCCACTCTCACCTCCTGGGTTTGTTGTGGGAGGCAGTAATAGAGTTGTGCTTGCTCCTAAGTGCCTGTCATGGCGTGGACTACCCTGTGACGAGCACAGCTGTTTGCAGGCCCATCTTACTCCCTTCTGCTCCCGTGTGGGATGGAAGGCAGAGGTCTGACGGTGCCACCAGACTGACTCAAGTCATCTGGTGCAAGGGAGCTGCCTGCACCTGTGGACTGATGGATGCCTCCCTCCTGATAGAAAGCAACAGCACATGTTACTGCAGGAGGAGCAAAACTGGAGACTGAAGAAAAGGTCAGCACCAAAAAGGAATGTGTCATGTCTCTGCCAAAGTCCATGGCCCAGTGGCCTTCCCCATCCCACTCATAAGGCAGGAACTCTGGCCTGTTCCTTGAGACATTACTTGTAGGTTGAAGGGCTGTGGCTTTCACATCAGCTGCAGTTCTTGCTCCTCTTGGGGAGCAGACCCCATTCACGCAGGTCCTATTCAGTGCCAGATTTCCTGGGGACAGCGTCTCCAAATTTCTGGCTCCCTTTCTGAGTCAGGTAGAGAAGGAAACCGATTCTACAGCTTCTCAAGTGAAAAATAATCATGGGCACGTAGCACTTGTAAACATGCCCCATGCTAACCAGGCACTGATGCTCACGTCTATAATGCCAAGGCTCGGGGTGGCTGAGGGATGAGGATATTAAGTGTGAGGCCAGCTTGAGGAATTTAGTGAGAACTTATCTCAAAAAAAAAGGCTGAGGATGTAGTTCAGTGTGAAGGCCCTGGATTCAATCCCCAGTACCGCAATGAACAAACTCATCACAACAAAAACCCCCACAAAAACCAAACCAAACCAAACAAAAACAAACAAAAAATCACCTCCCATCCTTAGGCAGATGGGTATTTCCTTGGGCTTGCCAAATCAAGATGCTACAATTATTCCTCTTGCTTAGTATGGGGTGTAAGAGAATTTCCACCAAGCTTTGCCTCCATCATCCTGAAAGGTAAAGTCATGTTTCTGCTGGGTATATGCTGATGGCAGAAAGGTTATTCCAGCCATGAAGACTGAGACATGGATGTGCAACACAGTCCATGTAGTCATTTCACATATGACTTCAAGGGAATTAGGCCTGGCTGTTGAATATTTCTGACTTATGACACTGCAATGCTGGAAGGTGTGCAAGACAACTCTCAGCTGTGATACAACCTTCCTGCCTGTCTGTCCCATCCTGTAGCTACTTCTATGGCTCTAAGTGTGACATGTCAAGAGCCGTTTAGTGTTCACGAGTTAGCATTTCTTTTGGCAAAAAGCTGAAACAACGTGGCTCCAGGTGAGAGTGTAGAAGCTGCAAGCAGAATGTTAAATTGGCTACTAATGCCTGGGCCACAGCTTCAAGGCCCCCTGGGCTCACTTTAGCGTCTTAGAAGTCACAGGACAACAATGACAACAACAACAACCTCCTCCTCAAAGTAACCCCCAAGAGGGATGCCCTGAACTGCTCAGCTTTCTGTCCCCTGGGCCAGCTGACTTGGTCCGAAGCACTCCTCAAGAGCAGCGGTGTGAAGGGGGAAGCTGTGCAGGCAGTAGCTCCCCAGGGCCTGACAAAGGCAACTGCTGCTGGATTCCAGGTTCCTTCCCCTTCTTCCTCCAGAGGACTCCTCTCTCTTCTGTACTGTTTTCACTCCTTAAACCACCTGCCAAACTCGTCTGCAGGCAGCACTGGCCTAGCCACGCTGCCTGTGCTCCCCAGGGCTCTACAGTTTCTGTGGCTCCCCTGCCCCCCAGCATGGGCCATGGAACATGACCTGTCATGCAAATGCCATAATCAAGGATCTGTGATAAGCCCAGGAGGCTCTGCTGTCAAAATGAGGATCCAGGGGTCATGAAGGAATGGCCAGAATATCCCAGACAAGCTCTTAGAAAGGAGGGACTTGGGAAGTGGGGCTTGCTGAGCAGAACCACCAGTGATACTGCACCCAGCCCACCTGAAGCCTAGGGGTACACAAAGCTAAGGTCACTCAGCCGAAAGGGCTCCCAGTTTCGTACCTCTAAGGAACTAAAGCGTGAAATGATATACAATGAAATGTGCAGCAAGGATCATGCTGGCCACAGCACATTGGCTTCCCTGCACATTTCAGACCTTCCTGGCACAGGCACCTTCTAGCAGACTTGGCAAG